AGAATCACAAATCAGATGATAAACGCATTCCTTGTCAATGGGGATCGAAATGTCGTGATATTGGAGATGCCAAACATCGGAAAAAATACTCTCATCGATCTATTGTTCGTAAATCAGACGACTAGCATATGCTCTATTAATGAGGAACAGGCAGTTGTAAAATTGGAGTTTGTAAACATGATCAAATTTTCTTATCATTCATTTAAATAAAAAGATAAAATGAGGGGGAATCTATTAGTATGTGAGCAGATAGATGAATAAGGAAATGGATGCTCACTCCATCCTACTTGTTCCTCAATGTAAAATAAAACCACGAGAGCGTCAAGGCCGATATCTTCAGTGAGTATATTTAAACATCGAATGCTCTCTTAAGTTGCCATTTTTGCGAATAATATCATTGATCAATAAACTTTGTGATACTATCAAAATGTGCCAATATTATTCTAGAAATGATTTCTCCTAGCACAGAAATAATGTATTCGTATTTATTCGTCACTTTGAAGCAATTAATATAAAAATGTACACATAAAGAATAGTACAGTGATGATTTTTTTTTTACAAAACTGTAAAAAGATTAAGAACAATATTTTCGCTTAACAAGAAAAGGACATTGATAAGAATAAAGATAAGTTTAAAATAAACAGTATAAAAACAAATAGAAAATAAAACAAAAGGGATGGAACGAATTTAATTTTGAACGCATGATAGTTTCGAACAAATTTCAATAGAAAAAATGCTAATAATACCAAAGTTCCATCCACTCTCTACAAAAAAAATGTATATGTATATATACTAGTAGAATAGAAAAAATATTTTATGAAAATAACATGACCAGTGTTAGAATAGATCTAGTTCTTTACTACTGAATTATAGATACGTTTTATTCTATGGTTTTATGGTAGGAAGATGTCTTATTATGGAAAATCTGTCTTTTGTTTGTCAAATGGAAATCTTTATCTAAATCAACAGAAAAGTATAGAGAAAAAAAAAGAAAATTGAAACGTATACATGTATACTATTATTTGTAGATGAAATTTTTTAATTATTGGTATTTGATAAACTTATAGCAGTAAAAATAAATTGTAATTCATTATTATCAACATTCACTAATATGAATTATATCTACTAGTTGTGTAGAATACATAACAGATGATTTGAGATCCATATGGTGAAAGAACACTTTGTCCTTAAGGTTTATTAGAACCATGAGATTACTTATTGTATTTACTGTGAAAAATTTTCTAAAAAATTAGCATTTCATCCACTTGAGTTGCGCTTTGTATATTATCATTAGAAAATCGTTTTGAGGCGACCTTGGTACAATGCCTCTTGTCCTGCTGATATAATTGATAAAGAAAAATAACTTTTTAGGTCTATGAAAAATAGGATGTCGATATTAGTATTGTGTATCTTTGCGATCCACTTTTCACAGGTACCCACAAAGATATGCATACCTTGATGAGTTCATTCCATCAAGGGCGCTATAAAAAAAACTTTTTATAGATGAATTGAATGGAGACAATCGTGTTCGAATAGGTAGGACAAATACTTGAAATATTTAATGAAATAAAAACTTGATTAACTTGCTTCTGGTTTTCTTTTCTTTAAAAGATCACTACTATATTGAGCAGCTCTAAGTAGGTATGAAGTAAAAACCAGATCGACTCATGTTTGATATCAATATGAAACAGTGTTTATTTCGTGAATTCTGTTGTGTTCCTATAATTATACACTATTCAGGAGTGATTCTTATTTCTTATTAGGCATTATCAGTAGATTTGATTAGAAGATTCAATCAGTACAGAATTCTTTATACACACATAACTGACCACGCGTATTAGTCATGGACTGATTCATGCCTTGAAAGTGTAGGCCATCATCGAAAGAGTAATTCAACACTCATGACCATAGATTGCATTGCGAGTGCTGTATATGCCAAGCAATATGAGTATTAAACTATGTCGATGATAAACAATAAGTAAACACTTATGAAAGGTATCTTTTATTGTAAACAGACATTATTTCGTTCGTTAATTAAAGTATGAGTGGACAGTTTAATACTGTGACACTGCCTTTTACTTGACTTAATAAATCTATTTTTGATTTAGTAGCGAGCATGAATGTGTCAAAACTTTTGTTAACTAACTAATGTCTTTACCTAGTTATGATAAATTTCCAATTTTTATATTTTGTCATAATTCTATATGTCTCTGTTTGATACACATATCGAACGATATTCCGCTCTTCTCCTTTGATTATTTTTCATTTTCCATGAGATATGGCGACTAGAGATCAAATATTTTCTGTCACGCACATGAACCGTTATTTTCATTGAAATTCGAGATGCCCTAAGCGTTGATGATAGCTTGGATAAACTAAAATCCATTCGATCAATCTTTCCTTGTAATACTATCGTTTTCATTGATTGAAATACATGCGATGGGGAAGTATGGATCAATTGAATATCTCAATACATGAAAAAAGAAATCTACTGATTTTTGGAAAACGCTGTCTTAAATATCGTCTATTGATCAAATAGAAATAGTAAATGACAATGTAATGAACGAATCATGAGTCTTTGATAAGACAAAATTACTACTTTATATTATGTTTACTTGTTAGTTTTTGCTAGGCATTGATTTGTTTTTTCATTTGTAAAACTCATTGATTCAATATGATTTATAGTTGAAGAAAATTTTTACTTTATTATTAATTATTTAGTATCATTTAGTTTTATTTAGCTCAGCGAATCATTTTTCCTATAACAAATGCTTCTATTAATAAACCAGTTTAAATAAAAATGGTTCAAGAAGAACGAAAACATTCATTTTTATCATCTACATAAGACCATATCAAATAGATGCTTCTATTCAAACATGTATGTATATTAAATCAAACTAAACAAAAGCAATATTATATGCATAAAAATGAATAAAGCGCTTGAATATCGATGAAAAATGAACAAAATTGAATTAAAGCTTCTATGTGCATATTGTAAACTATTTTCATATTGTTCGAATCATGAATAAAAGAAAATTTCTAAACTCCAGCTTTTTGTAGTCTTAATAGATCAACTTGTTGATTGATATGAAGCTATATTAGAAAAGAAAAAACTCATTGTAAAAGAAAATAAACAATATATTAACATACTCTAGTGATAGCTTTCAATAATTGATCTATTCGATCAGGAAAATTTTCTATTGGATGAAAATATTGTGAACGCATTCGAGAATCTTGCTCTTCTGCGATTTGTGATCTACTTGGCTTTATTATTCCTAAAATCAAGAATAAATTATTGTCATAAAACTTAAATTAAATATATTTACTTATCCAATGTAAAAATTGATTTAGCGTAAATGATAAAATATCTTGATCTTGAATTTGATTTTCTCGAGCACATCGAAAACTATCATTAATAATTGATATAAACATACTTAAGCATACAAATACAACTAACAGAATAAAAATACTAAAACATAATGGACCAATAACAGCATCAGCTTCTATTAATTCACTTGCATCAAATTTCATTAATGTCATTTCAAAAAGCATTTGTGCACTTGATAATAGACTTGAACATGATGACATTTTTGATACGAATAATAAATAGAATAAACTAAGAAAAGACATAAATACAATTGAAAACATCATAGAAAATGAAACAAGTTCTTTTCGAGCATATCGAAGTGTTTCAGTAAATAATGATATACGTTGATTAATACGAAATAGATGAACAAATTTAATCATACCAAAAAAACAACAATAACCAAGAAAAAATGTTAAAAGATCATTTACATAAACTGCAAGTTGTAAATTAATATAAACATATCCATTTGTTTCTTTAAATAAATGACTAATACGTTTATATTCTTGAAAACGCCAAATATAAACTCCAACACTGCCTAATGAACAAATAATTATACCTAATTCAATAAATGATCGAAATTGATGAAAATAATTTAATTTTAATTCAAATAATAATCGAATTTCAATTATTATAAAATAAATAATAAAAAACATATAACATATTGTACAAACCAATTGTAAAACTGATGTAAACACTAAAATAAAGAAAAATATTAATTTTTCTTTGAAAATAAATAAAAATTAAATTACTATAAAAATTAAGTGGTTCAAAACGAGCTGTTGGAGATATTGAACCTGTTGATAAAAATTCAATAAGAAAAGTAACTGAAGTAAATAATTGAACATTTGGATTATATAAAATTAATTGAATAAAAATAGCTCTTGTTTTATCATCAATCCATTCTAATTGATGAAGTTTAGATAAATTACTTTTAAGATCTGATAAACGACCACGAAATTCATATACATAACCACCTCCACTATATGTTTCATGTTGACCTATAGTAATATAAGTATCTAATTTATTACTTGTTGTATATTTAAATGCATTTAAAATTGATGAACTATATTCGATTTCTTTTGATGTTTGTTTAATCCATCCTGGTTGAAAAGAATCTTTTTCTTCATTAAATAAACTATAATCATTTTTACATGTTGAAATAATACGTTGATCAGAACATAAATTTGATTTAATACGTAATTGTCTCATTGTTGACCAACCTATTATTCGATTAGATTTATCATTTATAAAACCATTCAAATTTCGTGGATTTTCACCATTATACCATTGTTGAGCACGAAGATTTGAGACAAAACTATTTTCTAACCATGTCCAATATTCATTGATTGTTGAAATCTATAAAGATTTATTCGTATAAAAGAATAAAAATAAAAATAATAACAATAAACCTTTGTATAATCATAATTGATTTGTTTTGTATTGAAAAAATACTTTCGTAAATGATGAACTTGAAGAAAACTATTATATTCACAATTCGAATAAGCTATTATACAAATCAATGTCAAAAATGTTAAATAAATAAAAAGTTCTCGTATAAGTGACCACATTTGAATTTCTTTTAAACGATATTGACGAGCATTAGCTAGTTCAGTTTCATCAAGACGATTCATAAGTTTTTCAGATTGAGAATTAAATAAAGAGTCATACTATGCAATGAAAACTGTCTTTTTTTATTATTTTGTTCTATTAAAACAAAACAAAAACAAACCTCTATTGAATGAAGATATTCTTCATTATTATTTAAACCAATTCCATAATCGTCTATATATTCATTTGCTTCTTCATCCTCATTTAAATTTTGAAGAAAACAAGCAAAAAATATTGCCGTACAAATAATCTTTAAGAAAATATTTAAAAATAATTAACTTCATAAAACTAAAACTTATACTTTGATAGGTTGAGTAAGTAGAATTGATGAAAAAAATCCAGTCAGAATTGATGTTAACCATTTCTGTGTTTTTAAATCACCAAATTCAATTCCACGAGCAATGATAAAAAGAATTGAAATGGCTATAATTAAAAATGAAAGAGCATAAGCAATAAATAAACACCACCAAGGAAATCTTATTATAATTCGTTTTCTTTTAGTTGAATTCATATTTCTTGGATTACTAAAAGAAAGAGATTAATATTAACAAAAATATTTATGTAAAAATTCACTTACATTTGTAAAAATGGTTTAATCGTATACAATGTCTGATGTACTCGTGAAATTTGTTGACGAATTCGAATACGTCGAAAGAATTGAACAATTAAAAGACTTAGAACTAATGATAATAGTTCAACCATGATACCAATACCAATCTAAAATAAACAATTAAATAGATTAATTTTAAGGAATAAGATTTACAAAAACACTCTCTCAATTATTATACCGTTCTCAACAAATATTAATCTGTTTGGTATGAATAACAAAATTTGAAGAAGTGTTGTTTTCTTCCTATTTTTGAACGGTGACTTACACTGAGATTATGTTATCATGAGTATGATTTTTCTAGAGATCTAACTGAATCGAACAAATATATTCAGTATTGATTCATCAAATGAGAATTGTCTGTCTTTATTTGACTTTAAACAAAATAAAGACTAAAGTTACCATGAACTCTCCGTTTTGTTAATACAAAAATAGTAAACTACAACTATGTGCTATACTAATATCACATTTTATCTGTAACTTCTGATTTATTTTTTAAATTTCACAACAACTTCAACTGCAATTTCATCACGTTAAACGAGTGCCAATATAATAATCCAAAGATATATTTTCTTGAATATACATTTTCAACTAATCTAGATCATATCTAATAAATATTGATTTTGATAATACTTCCTGCTAAAATTGACTTTGAAACGAGTACACGCAAATTTATTAGATAATGCATAAGTTTTTTTTAAATAGTGCCTATTTAGCAATCTCATCTATGAATTTTTGAAAATATCTTCGTAATTTCTTTTTATTGTTACTTTCATCATCTAAGGTTAACCATTTGTAGAACGACTATTGGAGCTTCAAATACCATACACATGCACCTATGTGTTTTCAATATTAATTTTTATTTCATTTCATCCTTAGAACTCATGATATCAACTGAAGTTCAATTAGTATTGGGAAGAGACATCACCTTCAAACCCATCACAGAGTTAAATGCAAATTTGAGTTTTACTATAATGAAATGTGATAGAGATATTTTTGAGGGGAACGTTTCGTAGAGATTGGTGAAACGCAATAAAACTTACAGATAGCTTTGACAAATTAATGATTTATATATATTATATTACATATTAATGTTATGATGATAATTGTTGCGAAGAAGAAGACAAAGTCATAATATATAATAATATGGCATGACTATAAGGAGCATTAAATCACTTTGCACAGTATGTTGCTGTCAAGGATATCAAAACAAGAAAGCATGACAATTTTCAAGAAACTCTATTTTTAATAAGAACATAAGCAAAAACATTAATTGCTTCCATATTACAGCATTCAAATATGTATAGATATCTATCGTTAGTTATCATATATAGTTCAATTAAGAAATATTTAGATATTTTGAAATCAAAACTTGAAGATTTTCTGAATAGTCTAGAATCTATTTTTAATTATCTCATAAAGAAGAGAATACATACCTGCTCAGAAGTTATATGTAAAGGACCAATTGATAAACTGCTACCCTCTGTTTTATTCGATGATTTTGCTTCAGCTGATAAATCATAATACAATATATTAAGTAACATTGATGTGAATAATAAAACAAAACAACAAGTACATCGTTGTACACGTGTAAAAGTATTTGACATTGGACGGGAAAAAATTGAAAACCATAGGTGACTATCAGAAATACTGTGATAGGCTTTTTTAGATAAAACATAGGAAAAATTGCGTTTTTCTATTTCACTAGCAACTGGAAGAATACGTTCAATCTAATATATAATTAAAGAAAAAAGAAATATAAATAAAATTTGAAAAATAATAACTCACAAGTCCATCATCTTTTTCAACTGCAAACCATTGTTGAGAAATAAAATGAAAATTTTCCATTGTTTGTAAATCTCGAACAATAATATATTTTAGAAACCATGATGCTGATGAACCTTGACCGGTATTATCATGCCAAATACGAATATAATTCAATAATCCTAATGATCTAAAAATCAATCTTCTTTTTCTTTTGAAATAATTAATTAAATAAATTTACTTAGGAACAGCCATAATAAATGCATCAATTCCACCTCGTTGAAAAATCTTTCGATGAGAATCAGAAAATGTTCGAACATTTGTTTCATCATTAGTGCCTGATAAAATAAATTGAACCTAGTACAACAAAAAAATTTTTGTTTTTTCAAATCGATTTGCTCTTTTTTTTTTGTCTTTAGAAAAATTTTACTTTTGATTTTGTTCCGGCATCGATTCGTTGACCAGTAAAAACAAGAATTTCATAAAAATATTGATCAGATTTCATATTATCAACTAATGGTGTGACTCCCAACTAAAAAAAAACAGAAGACACTTAATAAAAAAAAAAAACCAGTAAACATATTAATAATCTCAACGTACTTTTTCAATATCTTTTTTGTCATTATAACGAGCATAAATCATTAAAATGATATAGATTACAGAAACAGATATAATTGTTAAATAAATCGTTTTATTTCGCATAAAATCAGCATTAGCAAAAACATAACTCCAATTGATGGGTGAAGGTAAAACAATAAAACCACCAGCAAATGTTGTTAAATGAGTCGTAAAACATTCTGTTTCATAATGATTTGTTAATGATCCAACCTTTATTTATTTTTATTAAATGTCAATAATTTTCTTTCACAAATGAAAAGATACTTACTATTAATCCATCCGATTTCCAATTGTTATTAGAATCAAGATAATAACAACCTGATGTATAAATACGAAGTTCATAATTTGATGTAAAATTAAATTTTTCATCGGTTATAGGTGGATTGACATATGAAGAATTTGAACAAAATTCAATAAGTTCTTCTGAATTTAATTCTCTTAAACCAAATATTAATGATTGATGACCTAATGTTTGTTGATTATTAATGAAATATTTATAAAGATTTTCATTAGTTAAATCTACTATTAAAAATTATCAACAGATTATATTATTTTAAACATAGACTTACTAGAAGGACAAAAAAGAGTCCATCTATCAATTGGATTAATCGAACTATTCAATAGAGGTGTTTGATCAAATTTATAAATAAATAAATAACCGAGACTTATATTGAGAGGATGCACTTCAAAATGAATTGAAACACTAAGATTATTTGTAATATTAATATAATTAAAATAAAATAATTGATTATGAGCAGTATTATTTATTGATGTTACATTTTGTAAAATCATTGATGGAATTATTAAATTTGGATCACGAGGAATTATTAATTGAATAGGCTCAGTCAAAGTCGTTTGAAGAGAAATTTCATTTTCATTATGAACATGTATTGAAAGTGAAATTGATCTTGAAAGATTTTGATTTGATCCAGATTTTGAATTACCAAATGAAGCAAGTGGATTCATCATTGACTTAAAAAAAAATAAAACAAACCAATTAATCGAATAATATGAAAAGAAGAAAAAAAGAACGAAATTTACACGAAGTGAAATTGAAAAATTATTTGTTTTATTGAATGTAAAATTTGATGGAATACGAAATTGAGCATTTCCAACCTGTTTTATAATTCTATTTGAAAGTGATTCAACAGATATTGTTTCTAATGACATAAATGTTTCAGATGTATTTATGAATAAATTTTGACCAAGATTCAAATGAATATTTAATGAAGATGTTAATAATGAAATTATTTCTTTTACTTGAGTTTCTATTTGATCAGCTGCTTGTTTTTGATAATAAATATTTCGATTTTTTTCAATTGTTTCTATTGAAAAATCATTTCCATCAGCAAATAAATCTATACAAAATAAACTTAATTCTTTATTATTTAATCAATCGCAATCTTACTTAGATTAGACCATTCTGATTCAAGATCCGTATCATAATCAATAGGTAATTCATTTGAACGAGACAAATCTAAATTAAGTAAACTGGTTCTTTGTTGTATTGGTCCATTTATAGCCTAAAATTCATTATGAAAAATATTTGCATTATCATATTTCGAATACCCTACAGTTAAAACATTTGTAGCACATTGAATTAATTGAGTTGATGCGACTTGAACATCTTCATATGGAATTTTTGTTGCCATTGAATGTAAAGCAAGAGATAATTGGTAACATTTATTTGATGCCAATAGCTTGTTTTTATTTTTATTTAAAATAAATTTCTAAAGATCTGAGGAAAAAAAAAGAAAGATCTTACCGAACTTGCTCGTGTTAATTGATTTGTAGCTTGAGTCAATTGTGCTAATGATGATGATTGTAATTTGATACTATTTGATGTTGTAATGGCAAGTTTATTTGTAAATGTTATTAGATAATCTCGAACATTAGCTTGAGAATTTAATTCTTTATTATATTCAGTCAGAGCTGATGCATTTAATGAAGTAGAAATCTATTTCAAAAAATAGAAAGACTACAATAGAAATGTTTATTAAATAGAATTACTTCTTGTGAATTTGTACTTCCTAATGATGCTATAGAAATACTTGCGAGTGGAACTCCATCTAAAAAAAGATTATCTTAATAATTTATGATAGAATAAATTTCGAATATCAATCTACTTGAAGCAGCATTGTCGAGACTTTCACTGTTCATTTTATTAAATTGTTGTGAAACTGAAGTGATTACTTGTCCAACAATATTTTGATTTCCACTAGCAAGTAATTGAACAATTGGATTATTTTGTATTGAATTTGATGAACTTTGTAGATTATTAATTAAATTAGTGATTGCTGATGAATCTGGCACGACACTAACAGAAGACATATTCACTTCAGTCAGACAATCAAGAAGATCTCGAACATAAATAACAATATTGAGTATGAATGTTTGATCATCTCCAACTGGTAAATGAACTTGAAAAAGTGATACTGGTGAAAAAGCAATCATTAAACGTTCCAATGAATATTTTGTCCAAACTAAAATTTAATAAAAAAAGAAATTATTTCCATAGCATAGACAATTAAAAAAGAAAAAGATATATACCATAGAGTGAATAATCTTTTATTCCATCTTCATCAAACCAATCTGGACATGAAACTGTAAATAAAGTACTTGTTGTACCATTGAGAGGATTAATTGAACAAGAACCATTATATGGAGGTTGATTAATTGCAAAATTTAGGGCACTTGTACTTGTTTCAGATGTCAATGCATAAACAACTTCAAATCGCCAAAGATTTATTTGAGGATTCTCAAGAAATAGTTTGTTTGTTGCTGTGAAATTAGTCGTATTTCTACCTAAAATGATCAATAATCCAAGATTAATCAAATTTCATTGATTTTTAATAGAGGCTATTGTTTAATAGTTCCGAATTAATTAACCTTGGAAAAATATACCTCGGGATTGAAAGTCTGCTACAGTCATATCAAGATAAATTATGAAAGAAAATTGCTATCATCATTATCGTGACAAGAGTTTCTATGGTTTTTATCAATTAGAGAAAGTATTTATGTATATCTATTTACCAAAAAACCAAATATTTTCATATGAAATCATTTGATTGAACAAAATCCATTGAGTAGTATTTGAAGATGAATTATCTGAACCTTGATAAATATTCCATGTTATGTTTTGAATATTTGTACAACTTCCAACACAAATAGAAAACAGAGCAACTTGTGTTGTTGGATTAACAAGTTGAAATTCAAGATTAGGAAGACACATTGTTGATATAACACAACTAAATCAAATATATTTCAATGTTTAATCAAATAAAACAAAAAAAAAACAAATTACCCCACAGCAATTAATTGTGGACGAGTTTCTTCAATTTTAACAAGTAAGTAACCAGTTGCTTGAATAGAAGAATTTCGACGATTTTCCATATAAACTAAGAACTGATATGTTCGATTTGCTTGAAGTGAACCAGCAAGAATTGTTATTGATGATTTTGGTGAAATACTAGAATTAGTATAGTGCAGTGCTGTTCGATTATTTTCAAAAAAAAAGAATATGATAGTTATTAGAATACAAATAGCATATCAAGATAATCAATATTACTTGATCGATTTGATAAACATGATGGACTAGAAGGATCAGTTCGATTATCATCAATACTTAGTAATATACCTTGTAAGTTTGGAAAGTTATATAAACCATAAATTCGACAATAGTATTCATATTTCCATTTCTATTCAAAAAAAAAGAAGGAAATTAAAACGAAAGATTCGTATATGCATTCATATAATTGATACTTACACTTGCATCAAATGAATCTTCATCAGGATCAATAGAAAATGTTCCAGGGTCGAGTAAAAGATCTTGTTGATTTCCACGTGTAATTAATGATGTTCCCAATTGAACAAGATTTGCTGTTATACCTGATGGAGTAATTCTAACATATGCTGAAGATGATGATGTTAAACTTGGTAAATCAACTAGTGTTACAGTTAATTTTAATTCGTAAACACCATAATCAAGAGTTCTTGATGGTATATATAGTTCACTCAATGTTGTAATTACTTTTTCATTTAATTGAATTTGATATGAACAAGAAGAACTACAGTTCTTAATTGTCCATGTAGTAATTGTTGAAATTAAACCTGGACAATTTAATTGAATAATCGAAATAATAGAAAAATCTTGACTTCGTCGATATTGTAATGGAGATGTTAAAGATGATTTACCAGGAATGAGTATAACAGTGGGTGAAAAACAGCCTAGAATATAAAAGATCAATAAATTATCTCTCACGGTGTTATAATTCCTACTTTCGTTAGTAATAGGTGTCTCCGAAGTTGTTGCAATTGTAATTATCGATGATTGTTGTTGTTGTATTGAGGAGGTTTCTTTTACAAATATTTTAACAACATTATCTCTTTGAAACTATGTACACTTTGCAACTTACCTTGCTCAAGCTGTGTTGAAATTCTTGTATCAGTTGTTTCGACGATGTTTGTAGTTATTCTATCTATCATAGTAGAAATTTCCCATATCAACTTTCAAAAACAAAAGTATTTGATGAAACAAACCTATTGGAAATATTGTTGTTGTGCTTGCATCTATAGTGCTTAAGATGATACTTGTGGTTGCCGTTTCAGAAGTTTCCATAGCGGTAGTAGTTGGAATTTCACTAGTATCTGGAGTACTTGTAATTAAAGTGTGAGTAGTAGTGATGTAACTTGTTGTTGAAATTTCAGTACTTTTGGTAGTACTCATCGTTGGAACTTCAGTGGTTATAGAACTACTTGTCGTAGGACCTTCAGTAGTTGCTTCGGTACTCGTCGCAGGAATTTTACTTGGTGTGGGAGCACTTGTCGTTAAAGCTTCAGTTGTTTCGATATGGTTTGTTGTAGGAGCTTCAGTGATTTCGACAGTACTTGTCGCCGAAGAGTAAATCATTATGGGAGTAGTTTTGATCGAGACTGTAGTGGATTCAATGTAGCTTGTTGTTGACATTTGGACAAGTGCCAATATACTTGTAGTTTCAGTCTCAGTAGTTTGAGCGGCAGCTGTGGTCGAATCCAGTGTACTTTGTAAAGCCGTAGTAATTGGAACAGCCGTAGTATCGATAGTAGTTGTTGCAAGAGTAACCGTACTTTGAAGAGCATTTGTGGTCGAGACTATAGTAGTTTGAATGGTTGTTGGTATAGCTGGAACAAAGAAAACTCGAAGTATTCTATTAAATAAAGTGCGAAATAGGCTATGTTTTTTTGACACTCATAAAACTTTCGCTCAGTTTAAATATGATTTCTACTCGAAACGAATCAAGCTGATTTGTTATGCAACTGTAAACATAGAGATGTAGCATCTCTTTCTTGTTTCATAGTAAAAGAGTATTTATTAATCGTAAGTGAACAGATACTATTTTTCAAAACAATACTTACTACAAGTATTGTTCTTAAGAATAAATTTTTGAACACGACTATTATTTCGATCAGTAACAAACATATTTCCATAACTGTCAAAAGCCATGCTCTGTGGATAAGATAATTGATTGGATAAAGAACCACCTCCGGAACATCCAACTAAACATCGAAAGCCGTAGGATGATGATCCAATAATGCGATGATTGTTGCTATCTACAATGAATAAATATCCATCACTATCAAGAACAATATCAGTTGGACAGTCCAATGTAATAGTTCCTGATGTTCCATTTCCAGCTAATGTCACACCATTGAGTTGCCCGAATTGAAAGCGTTGAATTCGATCATTACCACAATCTGCTATGTACAAATTGAGATAATTATCAACATAGATTCCTTGTGGAGAATCAAGCATATTTGATGCTGATCCTGCGAAACCGGTGCCTGCTGCAATTGTTGGAATATTGGTACCATTGTTTAGTAAGAGCTTAACAACTTGATGAAAATCTCGAAGAGAACAATAAAGATAATTTGTAATATCCAGAAATAAACCAAAACAACTTCCATTAGTATTCATGACAGTGACACTATTTGATGTATTAAATATGAATTTATCGACGCGACCATTTGAATAACCATTATCAATATAAATGTCACCAGTAATTGAAACAAACAAGCTAAATGTACTATTCAAATAACTGGAAATATTGTTTGTTGGTGTGTTACTCCATTGAGACCAGACCGAAACAGTTCTATAAAGTCTACTAGGCACAAACACATTATTAATGCCATCAATAAATATACTATACGGTAGTGAACCAATGGTAATGTTTGTTGCAAAAGTTGAAGCATTTGAATACCATAATGCATCTGGACAAAATTTAGGTTGATTGTAAGAAATACCTAAAATAAATAGTTTGATAAAATTTTTATCTTGATTATTTATGATTGTTAAATGATTCAAAGAGAAGAATTCTTTTGACGGTTATTTAACTGTATTTTCTAGTATATAAACTTTAATAAATAAGTAGTTACTTTCAAAATTCATTAAATGACAAATCTATGTTTTTTTTTCTGGTTGATTAATCGAACATAAAAATCTAGTTGAATCATAATATCTTTCAAATAGATAATATTTTAAAGGCATTTATCATGAAAAAATTTGTTCGAACATTTTTGTTTTCTGAATTTTCTATCTCGTATTGACAAATGATTAGTAATAAATATTATTTCCATATATACGTTCTATAATAATATTTTTGAATTCTATTTTTATAAGACTTACTGCATGAATTCGATGCTAGAATGAATTTCTGAATGCGATGGTTGTATTGGTCAGCAAGAAAAAGATTTCCATAACTATCGAAACCAAAAGTTCGTGGATAATATAATTGACTGGGTGCAGAACCTGGTATACTCGTACATCCAAATAAACATCGAAAGCCATAAGGTCCACTTCCAATAATTCGGTGGTTGTAATTATCAACAATGAAGAGATATCCATTAGCATCAAATGTAATTGCATTGGGACAATCGAGAGTAATAGTACCTGGTGCTCCATTTCCCGCTATTGTAATTCCATTTACTTGTCCTAATGGAAACATTTGAATTCTGTCATTACCACAATCTCCCACATACAAATTAAATTTAACATCAACATAGAGTCCAGCAGGATAATAAAGTTGATATGGAGTCGACCCCGCTGCACCATTACCTGCTGCCACAGTAAGTGTGGTTCCGTTATCATTTAACCATTTTTTAGCGATCTGATGATAAAAAGTCATCGCGCAATACAAAGTGTTTTGGAGATCGACAAAAATACTATAACATTCTTCAACTATTGTCATAGCAATAACACTACTGTTTGAATTTTTTGGCCACATATCGACTCGAGCATAACTAACACCATTGTCAATATATATATCATCAGAAAGTGTAGCAAATAGACTTAGTGGAAAACTTGCAGCACCAGAAATAATTTTGTCAGGATAGACACTTCCTTCTAACCAGATTACGATTCGACCATTCTGTCGATCAGCCACATAAAGCGTATTGTTAATACTGACAAAGAGACCGTACGGTTCTAAACCAACTATACTGGAGTTAGCGAACGTAATACCATCGAGATACCAGGTTGTAGATGGACAGAAATATGGTTGATTAAAGGAGAAAGCTAAACAATAAAATTAGAGTTAATTAAAATCATATAAACTCTCATCAACATATTATAATTTTATGAATCATTGAAATCTTTATTAATTATCTAAAAATTGTATTTTGATTAGAAAATTGTAATGTCTTCTTGACCCTGCAAATTATTATCTAAGTTTTTTCCTATTCTTCCAGGGTAAAGTGATGGTACTTTTTAGACTTATTTTATGATTGAATTGTCTAAAACAAATTATAAAATGCGGTTGAGAAAGCCTTGAAACAGCGATACTAACTTTTGAGCTATCTTACAAACACAAAAGCTCTTCATCTTTGTGTCAGATATACATAGGAAAGTTTTTAACTGTTCGATACGAGATATAAAAATAATATTTTTAATAAATGATTTATATGATATTTTCATCCTAATACGGCTAAAAGAAACTAAAAATCGTTTTAAAACCGAAATAGATGATTTATCATGGTTGACATGTTGAGAACTGATCAATCGTAAAATGTTTAGTTAGCTTTTTCTTTGACTACTTAAATCAATACTATACTTACGGTAAGTCGTATTTGGTATTAAAATAAACTTTTGAACACGGCTATTATCTCGATCAGTAACAAATATATTTCCATAACTATCAAAACTAAGATGCGATGGATTATTTAATTGACTCGATGTTGAGCCTGCGACAGCCGAACATCCAATTATACATCGAAAACCGTTCGAACTTTGTGCAACAATACGATGATGATAACTGTCTACAATAAAAAGATATCCATTACCATCAAGTACCACTCCACTAGGACAATAGAGTGAAATAGTTCCTGGTGCTGCATCTCCAGCTACAGTCGTTGCGATTACTTGTCCAGATTGAAAGAGTTGAACTCGATTATTTCCACAATCAGCAACATATAAATTAAGATCAGTATCAACGAATATTCCACGAGGATAGTAAAGTTGGTTGGATGCTGATCCGACGCAACCAGTACCAGCTGAGACTATCCACATACTTGAATTACCATTTAATGATTTTGTTGCAACTTGATGAACATTATACATTGAACAGTGTAGATTATTTTTAATATCCACAAAAATACCAAAACATTCTTGTGTAACATACATTACTGAGCTACTTATAGTTCCATTTAATATCCATTTGTCAACACGCTTATTTAAATTTCCATTATCAACATAAATATCACCATTGATTGTAACAAATATACTGTATGGAAGATACAAACCATTAGTGATATTTCTTGTAGGTATATTACTGCCTTCTAACCACACTTGAACTAGACTATTTGCTCGATTAGCCACATAAACCGTATTGTTAATATCAACAAAAATTCCATAAGGAGCTGCCCCAACTGTACCAGTGCTTGCAAAAGTTATTGCATTACCACTCCACGAAGTATATGCACTGAATTTTGGTTGATTATACGAAACAGCTAAAATAATATAGATAGACAAGAAGTTTATTTTAGTTTTTATTCTACTTTTTTTTTTGAAATTCAAATAATAGTTTCTCTACGACACAGCAATTAGCGAAGGAATCTCTTGAAATGATAAAAAGATTTTATACGAAACCTTTATTATCAATTAGGCTACTGAGATTAGATGTCATCTAAAATAAATCATCCTCTTGTCACTTCCATTTTGAATTTTCATCATTTTATTGACTTTATCGTCTAGTAAACCTTTACAATAAAAAAAAATCAAATGCTAATATGTTGATGTCAAATGTTGATATATACATATTTTAGAAACAACCCATAATAATCTGTTTTTTCTTCTTGTACACATTGTATCTCAGGTGAAAAACATTCATTCTACCTGATATTATCAATTTATGACTTAATTATTAGTTTTTTTTTATTAAATGACCTTTCTGTATGCCACGAAGGCAGTAAAAAAGTTATCGATCGACGAGAAGGTAGTAGAAAGAAGAAGTATCTCAAATTATAATATATCTGATTTACTCTCGATAGACACTTCACTAATCAAGAATATGAAGTTATTAGGTTACCATTTGAATAAGACATGGATATTGATGAAGTAGTTTGTTGGAAGGTGCTCATCGAACTTGTTACTAAAAATCAAAAAACAAATTCATTCATGATACAGAAGAAAAATAAAGATATTCAATACCAGTACTCATTGTTGTTGCTGTTGTCGCTCCATCTATAATTAAATAGACTTTCATTTAATCAAAATGAATAATATTCACTTTTAATATCGAATTAATTGAATACTTTACCAAACTGAGTATGAATACAGTGTTTATGAAAAACTCCACAATGATTTTATTTTAGACTAATAAAATCGCTCACCAAAATGAATTTTATAGGTGTTTCTATAATTAACATATAACAACACTTACTGCATGAATTTGTTGATAAAAGAAACTTCTGAATTCTATGATTATATTGATCAGTAACCAATATGTTTCCATAACTATCAAAACTAAGAGTTAATGGATAATATAATTGACTAGATATTGAACCAGCTCCAGAACATGCTGCTATGCATCGAAAACCGTTGGAACTCGAACCTACAATGCGATGATAATAACAGTCAACAATGAAAAGATATCCGTCAGCATCAAGAACAACTGAAGTTGGATATAAGAGTGCAATAGTCCCGGATGCTCCAGTGCCCACTAAAGTTGTTCCATTTAATTGCCCAGGCGGAAAAAACTGAATTCGATCATTTTCACTATCAGCCACATACAAGTTCAAATTCTTATCAACAAAGATTCCACGAGGATTATAAAGTGAAGTCGATGACAATGCTGCAACACCGTTACCAGCTACAATAGTCCATGTGTTTGAACCTTGTCTCTGTGAATTTGAGATAACTTGATGATAACTAAACAATGAACAGTAAAGTGTATCCTTAATATCGACAAAGAGACCATAGCACTGTCCACACATGTACATAGCTGGAACACTAGTAGTTGCATTTGATCTCCATTTATCGACTCGACTATTCGAATATCCATTATCAACATAAATATCACCTATATCCGTAACGAAAATGCCATATGGATAGCTTAAGCCACCAGATATATTTTGTGTCAGCGTGGTACTTTCATTAAACCATACTAGAACTGCATTGTTTGTTCGATGGGCTACATAAACAGTATTGTTTGTATCAACAAAAATTCCTTGAGGATACGAGCCAACAACACTGCTATTTGCAAATGTTATTGCCGTCGAGTTCCATGTTGCATTAGGACACAATTTTGGCTGATTGTACGATATTGCTGAAAAAAGTAAACAAATTAGGCTACGACCAGAATAATATTTATCAAATAAGTAACTAAAATACTGCTACATTCCGATTTATTAGATTCTATCTGAATCTGATTGCCGAATTCAGGCTCAAATCCCTCGTTTGTTATCCAATTGCTGTGAGTTTTATAAAAATTAAATTGATGAATTTAATTGAATGTCCAGTGGTTTTTGATTTTCTTGTTCGGTTCCGATCATTTCGGATCGAAACTGATAAGGACACTGTAAAAAGTGGTCGAATTTCGAAAGCAAGAATATCATGCTCGATTTCAAACCGAAACAGTCAATGGTATTTATCAAACTAAAAGTATCCATATTCTGTGTATAATTTATTCTACATATTTTCTCCGATGAAATTTGATTTACTTGTCTTGAATAGTTATTTGTTGACAAAGTTGGTGACACAAAACTAATGTATCTGACTTTTAAAATGAGTATATTGACACATTTTGTTAAATATTTACCTGATACTTCATCAATAGGCAGCAGAAAAAGGAACGAGCATATATTGATAAAAGTAAATAATGTCATTTTTAATATCTAAAAATATAATCGATTTTTTATTTAAATCAGTAGTAATATTCATTGACAAAACTAAACGGCTTATGTTTTCCATAAAATCGTTTTCCACACATTTACAAGAACATGATTTTAAACATAGTTTTCGTGATAATCTGTTACTAAGTTGGTCTTATCTAATATTAATGTTGGAATAGCTTTATTAATGTGTCTACTAAACTTTTCAATATTTTTCTATTCAAAGTAAATGATTAATTATTGTAAAAAAAAAGAAGTATATACTGCCAGAAAATTTTTTATTACGAATAAATTTCATAATAAAATTTTCACAGAAAAATGGTTTTATCTGTTGAACATAACAGGAATATTCATTATTCTACCTTAGTAGATTAATTATCTATCGTAATTGATAAAATGATTGAATGATCATTACGAACAAAGATCATTCAGCAAAAGGTAGATTGTCGGTAAAGAATTAAACTAAGAAAAAACTCTCATGTTGATATTTTTCTTATACTAAAATAAGTTGTTTGAAACGTATCACCATGAATTGTATCTAGAAAACAAACTGTACACTTTAGGTCTTGGAAAAACACTTTTTTAAAATTATACTACGAATATGCTCTCGAAGAAAAAAGTCACTTGAACATACGATCAAACTATATGTTTCCTTTCAAACGAAAACCAATATTGTGATTTTTTTAACAAGAACATGATGTTACAAATAGAGTAGAACAATAGCAAAAATAATTATGTATTTGTGAAAGATTTCTTTTATAAATATCATCTTATAATAATATTTTACTTATTGTCAATAATTGTTGTTAGTTAAACAACAAAAGCATAGTGATCAAAATTTTTGTACCTTCTAATATTAAGATGTTCGAGATGTTCATTATAGAGAAAAATTAGGCAAAATTGTTTGCTAAATTCATTTTACCTTTATTACATATGCGATTGGTTTCAAAACTTGAATATAATTAGAAAAAAACTTTACTGAATATAAATGTGCTCACCTTTGGCAAGTTTTTCTAGAGCAATCTAGTTTAACAACTAAGAGCTCACTCAAGATACTTTATGTGATTAAAAACGTAGGTTTTGTTCTTTCTTTTTTCTGTTGGATATCAACCATCTGTGATGAACAAACATTACATTATTATTATTAAAATATCGAGAAAGCATTGATGAAAAGAATTATTTCTAGGTATAACTTGTTTTCAATATGATGATAGTAGAAGCGTTCTGCGTCATAGATCTCATAGAAAAGAATTTAATATTCTAGAATGTAGTCACACCACTGGAAAAACATTCTTTTTCTTGTAATTTCTTAATTAACCAAAGAGTTATTTTTTGACATCATATTAATTGAAGAAGAATCTCTTGATTAAACCAATATTGCAAATGAATATGAACATATTGAGATTCATCGTTTCAACATCAATCTTCCGAGAATTTCATTTCATTTTACTAAATGTAGTGAAAATGTTTAAATAAACATTTATGTGAATAAAATATTTCTTGTTTTTGAACAGGTTTTTTCTTAAAAAAAAACTGTAAGACATACATATTTATCATATAATTAAAGATAAAAACTAGTGCTAAATAAAGAGAAGTTGAAAGAGTTTTTATTTTTAGTTAATGATGAAATGTCACCATTTCTAGTATCTTTTCAACAATATTCACGTTAATGAAATTACTATTTTTTCATTCTTTGGTGTTCAGATAATTCTACAAACACCCATATCTTTTATCAGTAAGTAGGCCGACTGAACTCAGATACATCAGTTTAGTAATTTAAAAGGAATGTATCTTTTCTTTTTTAATTTTAAGTCTTATAGTTGAATTTTGCATATAGTTAAGGTGAACGTGCCCAATCGATCTCTATTATTAACTATCGTATTTGACAGTAGAATATGT